TTTTTACTGAGGGTTAAAGAGAACAGTAGAATTAAGAGCTTCATACGTCGTAAACAGTACGCTATTGTTTTGTTGTTGTATTTACGAAAGTAGATACTGTTGCCTAATAATATTTCTGGTTTGTGGTTTAGTCATTTGTGTGAGCTGTTATATCTATAGGTGGCAAGACGGATTGCCCTATGCGAAGGTAAGTTGCCCTATTCGAATCTCCTTTGTTTACCATAATATACATTTATGACCTGCTAGTGTTACTACTGCTACTGTAACTACTGATATCTGTCGTCCGTGCTCTCTCACACAAATAAGCGCACATTCGATAGGCTCTCTAGATGTTCTTTGACTGTCTCCTTGTCTGTCTGTACCTACGTCCTACGCTTATTACCGTACACATAAGATCCGATTCCCGTGGTGTCGAGAAAAAGAAGCGGGACGGATTATGTGGTTTTTCTGCTGTGTCTTGCATGCTACCAGTGACTTGGTTTTGTGTGGAGAGATTAGTTCGTCTGATTTTTTAATATATTTCGAATTCAGGTTAAATGTCGCCAATGCGATCTCCCATAAATGGTATGTGATGTGCTTAGTTTGCGACTGTTGTGTGCCAGCCATATATTAAGCCATTTCTCTTATGCTGTTAAAGCCGTCCAGATTCTGTTTTTACTTTCATTCTCTTTATCGACAGCATTGCTGTATCGCGGGTGGAGATAGTTGTGACCTATACGGATACAACTTCACCGCCGCCACCATTAATCACTCACGTAGGAAACGCACGCCATCCAATTCACGCATGCCTCTCCTACCGTAGCTTGTTGCACCTCACTAATACGCAAGCTCGTACGTCTAAACACGTACTCTACGCTCAACACTTTCAGATATCAAACGCAGCCTTTATTACGATAGCAGGTCGGTGTGAGTGTACAAAGTTTCATATTTACGATCTATATTCGAGTTGACATTCTCGTTTTTCTGTTATTAACGTTGTCAGATCTGTATATCTGCCGATTGGTTTAATACCTGCGAAGAAAAAATTAGGGGGTGTTGTATTTGATATTTTCTGAAGCCTTGTAGTGTTTCATGGCTGTGCTTCTTTTACACCGTACCCATTCTGCATGCTTTTCTAACGTTTCTCTTTTTTCGTGTCCTCTACGTGTATGCATCATGCATTCGTTTCAGGGCGACTGAACGCATAAATTTGTACAGGCTGGTTTATCCAAATAACGTACTTGTCGGTCTAGGCAATGGTGTTTCTTTTGATCGCGCGCAGGCGTTGCGTCCAATTTGTTGTAGCGCGTGGTTTTCGAATGACTTTATTTCTCCGCATTTCAGGATGTTGATCGTGAAAGACGAAGGCGAAGGTCGCGGTCAGCATCGCGGTCACGTTCTCGCACCGAGAAAAGGTCACGGCGCAGCAAATCGCCTAAGCATAAGTGAGTTTATATTATAGATGAAGCATTACTCACTGGAACGTTAGTGTTAGAAAAGAATGATGTACTGCTCTACTATAGGCGTCGTCGCCGCTCTACATCATATTCTGGCTCATCGGAAAGCAGCAGTTCTAGTGAATCTTCGGAATCTAGAAGTAGGTCACGTTCTCGCGAACGAACACCACCGAAGAAACGGAGAGAAAGGGAGCGATCACTAAGCAGGTTTGATTTCTGGTTGAATAAAAGAGAGTTCACATTCAAAGAAAGGCAAATTCCAGGAGCTCCGAGGACAGTGAAGACGCTCGTGAGAGACGGAATTTAAAGAAGCAGATCAAAGAAAAGGAGCAGGCATACGTTTCTCGTCTTACGAAGTGGGAGGCACGTGAAAGGCAAAAGGCTAAACAGTATGAGAGAGAAGAGCGTCGAGAAAAGGACAGGTATGTATTGGGAATTGCCAGTTGAAACCAGAGATCACTGGTAGTGTTCCAGAAGACGGGATATTCTCAAGGAAGCGAAAAAACTGAAACATTTCTTGGAAGATTATGATGACGAAAAGGATGACCCTAAGTACTACAAGTGAGTGCATTATTGTCTTCTTGGTGGTTTTTGAAATGTTAAGATTTGAAATTTCCAGAAGCTCTTCACTTTTCCAACGAAAACGTGACTTTGAACGCGAGCGAGAAGCAGATTCGAAAGATCGGTTGAGAGAGCAGCAAGAAATAGAAGAGCTTCGAAAGCAAATCCTAGCCGAAAATAAAGATGTTCAGGATGTGGATGAGGAAGCTCGTAGACGGCATTTTGAGAAAGGTATACGAAAATTTTTAGGCGCAGAAATTCTTATATCACTCGTCCTAGTTTAAGGAGGAAGCCGCTCTCCGTCGTCTTCGAGAAGACAGCGGTAGTCCAAATCCTCATCAACCTCTTGGTCAACGAGATGGCGATGGTGACAGCTCGAGCAGCAGCGTAGAAGAAAGCGAAGATGAAGAAGATGGGAAGTCCTTAGATGGGAAATCAATCGGTGATGATGAAGAAGACACGAAAACTCCTAAAAGTGACGCCCCTCCCTCCAATACAACACACGAAGATCGCTGGAGAAGTGGTATGAATTGTTTCTTTGTTGCATAATTTGGTGATCTTATATTGGTGATCATTATAACTTTATTCACATGGATTTTTAGTAAGCGGGGGGGGGGGGGGAATATGTCAGCGTATCTGCGGCTAGAACCCGTTCTTTTGATTTACATACACAGTGCTTATCCGTTACTCTGCCACCATTGCTTTGCATGGCATTGTGGTTGATTGGCAGGGTGCACGAAAAAAGTGCAAATTTGATCAATTTGCAAAGCCCATCCGCGCAT